CTATGTGTATGATGTTATCAGTCTTGACACCAGAATTAAATTTTAGGTGGGGGTTGTAGGGAAAATTTGTTACCCAGTGTAATGCCTACATGGTCCAGGTAAATTTCTACTGTGCCTTAAACTCTCCTTAAGATAAAGGCTGCGTGAGGTCAGCCATTCCTTTGGTGGCCAAATGGACTAAGAAAGTGGGATCTGAGGTAGAAGCTCAGTTGACCTCTGAAGAACCTCTTAGTTCATTATAGTCTAATTTCCACGCTAAATGACACACCCATCAGCACCATGACAGTTGAGAGCCTTCATGACAACAACGGGAAGAAACCATAGAAGGGCAAAACAGAACGTGCCCATTACCAGAAGAGACATGAGTATTCCGTCCCTTGCTTTTAATGCCAATCCTTTCATTAAAGATATCCTATATCTGTGTTTTCTCAGCTCCCATGAGTGAACTGAGCCACACTCCTGCTTCTCAATTTCATGGTCATCGAACAAAGACGGCACTCTCGAGGCTCACCTTCTGTTTTGTGTATTGGCTTCACAACACTGCATAGGAAAAGATGCAGTTGGGGGGGGGAGGGACCAGTTTTATCATTAGCAAGTTGGCTCACACAATCACAAAGGCAAGGTTCTGTGACAGGTTATCTACAAGTTGTAGAGTGAAAGTAGCCACTAGCATGGCTCTCAGAGAAGCCAGTATTATTGTTAACGGAGGAGTAAATCTTCAACCGGATTGCCTGGTTCCCACATCGGGAGTCAAGCCCAAGCCCAGGCCGCCTGGGTGAAAACCAGGAATCCTAACTGCTAGACTCCGTAGGCTCTACGAATGGAGAAAGCGGACCTGGAGGCGCAGTGAATTTACCGTCCAAATAAAAAATCGTGGACCCAAGGAGTTCTGTGGAAGAGTGATTTATTAGACAGACAGACAGCGAGAGAAGACAGCTCCCACACTATCATGGGAGGGGACCCAGATAAAGAATCCGTTGAGGTAGGAGCAGCTAAAGTTTTAACCCTTATTTCCTCCCCATTCATGTTCTTGCCCAATGAGAGGCGTTCTTTCAAACTTCCTCTGGATTGATTGATCTTTGACTCTGATACAGGATTGGCTACTTGTGTTACCATCCTGAGTTACAGAGCCCTCTCCTCCATGAGCTCTGGCGGGAATTTGGGGGACGAAAGTCCTACCTGGCTTTCCTGCACATGGGAAGATCAGACAAAGAACTTTACCTGGCTTGCATGGAGGAGGTGATCAAAGAGCCCCAGCTGTCTGAGGCAGGAGCCAGGAAATTCCTTCCCTTGAAACCACGCCCCTCACGGACTCAGGAAGAGAGGTTTCTCTAACACCGTGGCTCAGTATGGCCCAGTCCAAGTCTGAAAGCTCAAAACCAGGGAAGCGGACAGTGAAGACTTTAATCTGAGACTAAAGGGCTGAAAACCTCTAGGAGGTTACTGGTCCAAGTCCCAGAATCCAAACGCTGAAGAACCTGGAGCCTGATATCCAAAGGCAGGAGAGGGAAAAGGGCATCCCGCTCTAGAAGAGAGAGAGAACATGAAAAAGAAAACCAAGCAAACTGAGTATCTCCCTTCTTCTGGCTGCTTTCTTCTAGGTCTAGCCCCAGATTAGATAGTGCCCATCCACGCTGAGAGTATGTCTTCCTCTCTCAGTTCACTGACTCTCATGTCAATATTTTCCTGAAACGCTCTCACAGACACACCCAGAAACAATGTTTCACCAACCATGTAGACACCTCTCAATCTAGTCAAGTTGACACCTAAAATTAGCTGTTACAAGGGTCCATCTTTTCTTTGTAGAGTGGCTACAACAGCTCTTCTCACCATCATTCTCCATAGCACACTTACAGAATGTGTACTTCCTATCCCTGAAACTCTGCCATATTAGATGTCCTGTGTCCCAAGAAGGAGTGCGTCCAGTAAGAGACACAGGTTGATTTCTATTAAACTTAAGGTTATAACTACTACCTGGTTATTTCAGTTTCCTCATGGCAATGGATCAGCCGGCAAAGAAAGGAGTTTATATACCAACGAGGAAAACCAACCCTGATTATCATTCTTGGGGTTCAGAAACCGATACCCCAAAATATGGCACTCTGACATGCTGAAATGAAAAAGCAGCTAGATCTCTTTGACCATCCTCCACCCTACTGTCTCTCAATCTTCTGTCTCCAAAGCACAGGATGAAGGTCTCTGAAGTATCTTTTTCTGCCTGAAGTCTGGACCCACCAAGGTGAACAATGTAACCACACCTGAACAAACACTTTCACATGGTAATAACTGTCAGACTCATCCAAATTCCAAGAGAACTATTTACAAGTTAATCTCTGTTCCCAGATCTATTCATTCTCCCTAGTAATCATTTATTGTCCCTCAATAGAATTTCTCTTCTCCCCGCTCCTATAACCTGTTCTGCCACCATAACCTGTTTTACCAGAATCCAAGGCCCCATTCTTTTTGTGACTTCATGATGCCGTATGAGCTTTTACACCCCATTGGGGCAAGGGGCAATTACTCTGTGATTCTTCCTGTGTATGTGTTAATAAATGTGTATGCTTTTTCTCCAATTACTCTGCCTTAGAGGGCACAGAGGTAGTTTTTCTTTTAGCCCCTGTACCATGCAGAGATAAAGGTTATTGATGCATAATGGGGATAGGGAGGAATATGTCTGAAACCCAGAGGATTCATGAGACATTCTGCTTACAGAAAAGCCAAATTCTGTAAAATATTTTAAATAAGTTTATTTTGAGTCATTATGAGTGACTGTGGTTCAGGGAAAATCCTAATCCAAAAAGCCTTGAGTAAGTGGTCCTGAGGAACACAGATTAAGGTTTATTTTTTATTTTTTTACTGATAGTAAATAGAATGCCATAAAGTTTGGTTGTATACATTCCAGGGAGGAAGGAGTTTCAGGCAAAAACTTAAATGAATACATGGAAGGTATACATTGGTTCAACAAGATATCTTGAAGTGCAGGGTTGAGGGAAAGGGGAGCTTACAGATTATAGGTGAATTTGGAGATTATTTAATTTCCAATTGGTTAAAGAAGTAAGGCTCTGTGTAAAACTTGAGGTCAGAAGAAAGAAATGTTCAAGTTAAGATAAGGATGCTGTGTCGGAGCCAATCACCATATACTGGGTCAAAATGACCTGCTTAGCAAGATTGATAGCCTGCAGACATGATTTAACCCCTGCCTGGCATGGTCCTATGTTTTGTTTCTAATTTGGTTTCTTTTTACCACAGATTCCATTTTCTCAGTCTTATTATCTCTATTTTAACATTCTGCAGGTTGGTTGATGTCTACACTACAAAAGGAAAGGGGTGTCATCAGGCATGTTCGATCTCCCTTCTTGTAATAGCTGGAACTCAGTTTTTAAGGTTTCTTTGGGCTTCCCCCGGCCAAGAGGGGGTCTGTTCAGTTGATGGGGTGGGCTTAGAATTTTATTTCTGGCTTACAATTCTTTTGGTTCTTCTGTGTTCAGTGACAATGGCAAATGGAATCAGTATAAAGTAATTGTTGATTCCTTCATAATTTTAAGATCATTTACACTTGATGCCTTAACTAAATGGGGCTAAACACAACAAAGTGTCTTGGACTGCTGTCTCAGAAATCATTCTAGGAAGCTTGTCCTTTTACTGTTTGTCATGGTTAGTCCTGGTCCTTTAAAAACAGTATATCTCGATCCTTATTCACCCTTTGAGGCTGCAAGTGGATTTAGCAACATTCTTTAAATACCTTCCAGTTCCTTTATTATTTTTTTCTTTTTTGAGATGGAGTCTCTTTGTCACCCAGGCTGGAGTACAGTGGCATGATCTCTGCCTCCCAGCTTCAAGCAATTCTCATGTCTTAGCCCCCCGAGTATCTGAGATCACAGTGGCACCCCACCAAGCCTGGCTAATTTCCTGTTTTTAACACTTCTTCAACTCTGTTCTGGCTGCATCCATTTAAACTTTATGTATTCTTTTCTAAGTAGAATTAATAATATTAAAATATCCAAATTCTTTTTCTCTCTCTTTACCATCACTGATATTTGATCTATATACTGATTTTTTTTAATGACAGTTTCCCTACTGGCACAAGGTGTCTCCAGGTGGAAATTGGGAAAAAAATTAAGTTCACATGTCCCAAGAGGCCCAGCAAATCAGAACACTACAGGCGGCTGGCAACGATAGAGTTAAAAGGACCAGACTTACACTCGGAGGGTAGCCCGCTCTCTAAGGCCTCAACGGAAGCTGAGAACCTTGCTCACTCATTGGACACAGCGCATTTCCATCCATTTTCATTTCTCAGCAAATAAGCTTACAGCTTGTAAGAAGGGAAGTTGCCATTTGTTGACCCCTCGAGGCTCCACCCCTGTTGCTGACCTTGTCTGCCGCCATTTTAGTGGCAGCCTTGGTGGGTCCCACCTTGCGCAGCCTTCCTGTCCCAGGGCCTCCACAGCCACTAGCACAGACTGTTTGGCTCATGTTCAGCTGCCTTCTCTGCCGCCCCCGCCACTTTGGGGTAGGGCCGGCTGCCAGCAGCCTCCCTCTCCTCAGTGGCAGCGACCTTGGTGGCCGCCATATTTGCTGCCTTTGTCGCTGCAGCCCCATTTGCCGCTCCAGTTGAGGTCCTGACTGGTGAGTCCCTCCTGCTATGTCTGCCTCCAAAAAGCAAGACCAGGACCAACATAACCAGAGACAACCTGGTTATGAGGCAGCCCTGGACCCCGGAGCTGTAGGGGGTATTTTGGCGTCTCAAGAATGGGTAGTTGATGTTGAGGCAGAAGTAGTCCCTGAGGATTTTCAGGAGGCTATAGAAGACATTTTTGAGGAGGAGGAGGTTGAGCTGGATCAGGTCTGGGACCCCATCGAGAACTGGTTTTTTCCCCTATTAGAAGAGGACGAGGAGCTGGGAGAGGAGGAAGAAGAGGAGGAGGGGCAGGAACTTGAGGTGCAGGAGGAGAAGGAAAAGGAGGAGGAGGAGGAGAGTGAAAAGGAGGAGGAGGAGAGTGAAAAGGAGGAGGAGGGTGATGAGGAGGGAGAAGAAGAAAGAGGAGGAAGTTTTTGAAGGAAAGGAGGAGGATTATGAAGGAGATGAGGAAGACAATGAAGGAGAGCACGAAGACTATGAAGGAGAGGAGGAGGACTATGAAGAAGACGAAGAGGATGAATTCAAAGAGGGGGACAAGGAGGAGGCTGAGGACGAGGTCAAGGAGCAGAAGGAAGAGGACAACAAAGAGGATGCTGAAGTTGCTTCTGGCGCCTGTGAGTTCTCATGGTGGTGTTTCAGTCCCTATTCCAGGATCTGATCCATTTCCTTTAATATTATATTTATTATTAATATAATGACCATTTTGCTGGTCTGGCCCCATGCATACTGCGTGGTGGTCAGACTGCGTGCTGTTTCCAGGAACATGAGGACCTGGGAGAGACACTTGCACCAGGGGAGTGGGAGGATCCAGGAATGGGAGGATATGGAAGCGGGAGGACCCGGGAGTGGGAGCCAAGGTCTGGAAGGGCGTGGACCTGGCAGAAGGAACTTTGTCCCGGGAGCCAGAGTAACCTGCAGAGATCACCTTATTCCTGCAGGGAGAGGAAACAGAAGGGGAGTTGGAGGTCTTGGGAGAGCGAGGTCCTGGCTGATGCCTCCAAGTCCTGGGAGACGGGGGCGGGGGGGGGGCGCGCCTGTGCACCGTAGGGGGCCGAGGCCTGAGAGTGGCAGCAAAGTCCTGGGTTGGGGGGGCCCTTGCAACTTCTGTTGGTACAGCTAACTTAGCTGCTCAGAGCCTACCTGCCGTGGTTGAGCAGCGGGTCAATGCTGTCAGGAAACTTCAGGCAGCATATGCACAAGTAGAAGCTCAAGTCTATAAAGGCCTTTATGTTCTTAAAAAAATGTGCTTTCTTTTACCAGCCTCTTTTGATAAAAGATCTGAGATTATCAGTGTAATGTATGAGTCCACAGCAAGTGAATGTCAGTGGGAAGTAGGCAGTAAGGAAGGGAGGAGTTTGGGAGGAAATGGAAAGAGCATAAAAACAAAGGGCAAATAGATGGTATACCTCACTTTAGGTTGACAGATTTTAAAAATGTAAGGATTCTTGGTAGGATGATCCCAGAAAATGATGAACTTGTACTAGAGCACCTGAGGGATATGAAAATCAGTGTTTCAGAGGTTGAGAAACCAATGAACTTGACCACGAAATTCATCTTTAAGTTAAATAAATATTTTTCAATGAGGTTCTGACAAAAACATACCAAGTAGTCAGACCCAGATGATTCTGATCTCTTCTTTCAAGGGCCAGAATAATCAGCGGCACAGGGTGTGAGATCTGTTGGAAAGCGGGAGGCGGGGGATACTATGGTGAAAAATATCAAGTAGCAGAAACGTGAGGATCATGGAAGTGTTGTACTTACCAGTAGGAACATTCTCAGCTATTATTCCCCTACATATTTCTGTTCTTCAGGTTCTCCTGAGCATAGAGTGCAGGATATTGCTACTCAGTGTAAACAGGAATATTTTTTCCGAGAAAGTATCCCAATGTCTGTATTATGCTTCTCTGAAGAAGTCGCTGAATATAAGTATGAAAATTCTGATGAAGAGGATCAAGAAACTGGAGGCAAGAAGGAGAACGAAGAGGATGAAAATGAAGAACTGGGTGAAGGACTCAGAAAGGATCTAGACTCAGCAGAGGACAGCCCCATCAAAAAATCCAGGTATTCATCTATAGTCTTGAGTATTAGCTAACTATTTCTGACATACACCTCTTACTAATAGCTTTATGTTTTTAATTTTTCTGTCAGCTAAATAAGCAAAATATTGGTAAAATTTGAGAAAGTTTAATGTTAATAATGTATTTGCATATTAGATAAATAGAAGGCAATATATTCTGAAATGCACTTCATTCATAGCTACAATTCCTTTATCCTGTACCTATAAGATTGCTACAGATGGGAAACCTATTAGGCCCAGTAGTGGAGATCAATACTTGTTCAGAGAAAGGTCATAAGAATAAGCAGCAGCAAAGTGGCTGGGCCATGCACTAGTTGGGCCTTAACCACTCGGCCACAGAAATATAGTCTCTTGTACTAATAATGTCATTGAGAAGGTTGACTACTCTACTTATAAAGTAGTAAAAAGTTAAGGATTTCAAGTGAGGCTGCACTTTGTGATTAATACATGAATATTAGTTCTTTTTATATCTTTTTATTTCATATGACAGTCAAAAGAAAAGAAATTAGCATTTATCACTGAATTGGTAATTAAGTCTTAGCTTATATTTTCTTTATTGCCTTTCACTCTCTTTCTGAATTTTCTTATCTATGGATGTTTGATAACAGCCTCATTCTCACATGGAAACTGAGGGTCTGGAATATGTTTGGTTTGTGTAAAGAGAACAGACTTTTAAGGTGGAAAGATTTATGGAAATCATAAAGTGACCTCTCAAGAAAAAAACAAGCATTGCTAGTGGTGGGCAAGAGGGCAACAAAGTTAATACGATCTGATCATTGAAGCCATGGAATGTGTGAGCATTCTAACATCCAAGCGTCTGTGTTGCAAAAGGAAAATGTTTTGTTTTATCCTTATTGAGACAACAGATGTACATAGGGTTGACTCATAGATTTAGAAAGTTATTAGTGTATGTTAATGGTGTACAAATATTTCTTATTTCATCTTACAGCTTGGAGGCAAGAAAGAAATAGATGGAGAAAGAAGAAATTAATTTCCTTTTCGTGAATTTTCTAGTTTTCAGTAGCTCAAACCACTGTTTTTGTTAAAGTTCATTACACAAAATGATACCAACTGATATCTGACTTTACTCTTACCTATTACACATATATTTGACAGCATTTGTTCATGTTAAAAAATAAAAGCTTGTTTGAAATGAGTACTTTGCAGATTATTTTTTACAAAAATAATACTGACTGATATTTATCTTTGTATCTTTTTGTTTTAGTTTAGCATATTATCATTAAGATGAACCTTTCAACTATTTGGTAAGCCTTTTAAAAATTCTGTTATTACAGCCCAAAATAAAGCTATAAACAATTTGTGTAATGCCAGAGATAGAGGTCTAGTCTCCACTGCCTTTTATTGAAAGAATCTGATGAATGACCCAGCTTCTATGGAAACCACATGGTACTAGTGAACTGGCAGTATCAGCATCAGCATCAACTGGAAACTTGTTAGAAATGTAAATTCTCAGGCCCTACTCCAGACCTACTGAATCAGAAATTCTGAAGGTAGACTGGGAATCACTTTGACAAATCTTCCATGTCTTCAGGTGCTTCTGAACACACTGATGTTTGAGAACCACTGGTTTAGAACAATGGGGGAAAACAAACTTCACCTACAGTAGGAACAGCCTTAATTCTGTAACTTGGTATTGTAGGTAACTTGGTGTTGCAGGTAAACTGAATGGTACAGTGAGATCTGGACTGGGAAAGAGACTAAAATTCTCAGGGGCCTGAGACGCAGAGTGCCTGGAGGGATGTGTTTGTTTTCTAGGGCTCCCGCAATGAATTGCCACAAACAGAGTGGCTTTAAACAACAGAAATGTATTGCCTCAGTTCTGTAGTCCAGAAGTCTGAAATCAAGGTGATGGTAGGGTTAGTCCTTTCTGGAGGCTTTCAGGGAGAATCTGTTCCATTCCTCCCTCCTAGCTTCTGCCATCAATTTTTATTATCCTTTGGCTTGCAAATACATGACTCTAATATCTTATTCTATCTTCATAGACAAAGTGTTTTCTCCCATGTCTCTGTCTTTCTGTATCTTCTTTATAAGGACACCAGTCATGGATTAATGGCTCACTCTAATCCAGTATTACCTCATCTTAAGTTGATTACTTTTGCAAATACCATATTTTCAAATAAGGTCACATTCACAGGTTTTTGGGATTAGGACTTCCACATATCTCTTTGAAGGACCCAATTCAACTTATAACAAGAAGCAAAGATTGGCTTGTGGCAGTGAAAAATGGATAAGGGGAAAAAACCCAGTTTCAGAAGGATATAAGCATTACACCATGCATATGAAGTCTAAAAACATGTAAAACAACCACTGTAATGACTGTGGTTGCACACATTTAGTAGTAAAAGGCAAAAATGGCAGTGATGCATACACATGTAATGTGCAGATGGTATATATGAGAATAAACACCTTTCTTAGGACAGTGATTAGATACTGTGGAGAGAGAGGGACAATTTAATTGCGGAGAGGTGCACAGTGGACTTCACCTCTATTTGTAATATGTTTCTGAAGTGAGGTGGTGGGTTCATGGATGTAATATTCCTATACCTTTGTGTAGGTCTGAAATATTTATCAAAAGGAAAACTTAAAAGAGGACATGGGCCTATTATCTGCAACCTGTTTAAGGAAAAAATAATGAAGTTTGAGTTGACCAGAGTAGAGAATCAGAGAAGGGGAGAGCCGGGGGTTTTAGGGTAGAAGGGTTTATTTCTACATTTAGTTAAGACTCTCTAGATGCTTGCTAATTGACATCAATGTCTTTTTCTATATACTATGGCAACATATCTCATATCTTAGTGTATATTAACATTACTTATATATGTGAATATATTCCCCCCACTCCACGCCTTAGAGTGTGGACATCTGAATGCTTGGGTCTTTAAAGAATTTTATTTATCTATCTCTCCTAAAACACTCAGCCTCATGTTTTATTTTTAGTAGGTGTCTGAAAAGAGTCTGTTAAAATAAGGTTAACAATGCATCCACACCCTATTTGTTTCATTACTATTGACATTTAACAATGTATTATCACACAGTAACACACAGCAGTTCTTATGGCTATAACCAAAAAAAGGCACAAGGCCTTTGTCACCATTGTTTAAAATGAATGGGCAGTCCAAATCAGAATTATCCACGCAGTGTCATTTGAGGGACCTTAAATTGGCTCTGACTGGTCCATGGAATTTTGGTGACCTGTCTGTCTATCTATCTACCTACAAAAGGCCCTATGTTATAAAAATTTTGTTGGGTGCTATGGTTTGAATACATCCCCTCCAAAACCAGGTGCTGTCAATGTGATGGTATTAAGAGGTGGAGCCTTTACAATGTGATTAGGTCACGAGGGCTCCTCCTTCATGAATGGGAATAGGTGCCCTTATAAGGGGCTTGATGGGCAGAGTTGGTTTTCTCTTGCCCTTCTGTCTTCTGACCTGTGAGGACACAGCAAGAAAGCCCTCACTAGGTGCTGGCACCTTGATCTTAAACTTTCCAGCCTCCAGAAGCGTGAAAAACTAAACTTTTTTTTTTTTGACGGAGTTTCGCACTTGTTACCCAGGCTGGAGTGCAATGGCACGATCTCAGCTCACCGCAGCGTCCGCCTCCTGGGTTCAGGCAATTCTCCTGCCTCAGCCTCCTGAGTAGCTGGGATTACAGGCACGCGCCACCATGCCCAGCTAATTTTTTGTATTTTTAGTAGAGACGGGGTTTCACCTTGTTGACCAGGATGGTCTCGATCTCTTGCCCTCGTGATCCACCTGCCTCGGCCTCCCAAAGTGCTGGGATTACAGTCTTGAGTCACTGGGCCCGGCCCCAACTTTTGTTTTTTATAAATTACCCAGTCTCAGTTATTCTGTTATGGTAGTGCAAAATGGACTAAGACATGGGAATTTACTCCATTAGACAAAAGGCATATACACAACTCTCTTAGATAAGCTCATTTCACTTTGAGCTTCTGCTGAGACTGCTTAGGGACAATACCCATAATCCTCTTAGAGGGAATATTGTTTTTTCTGAGGTACTTCTCCATATATTTTGAGGCCTTAATAATGGATTTTATAATTGCATCACTGGCTTCATCTTTATACTATATTTTCCTGGAAGGGTTTTGGATTTGATATTTGCTTAGACTCCCTTTCTTAACTTTAGCATTATTTTCCATCTGGAGACACTGGGGGTTTTGAAAGCAGCAAATTATGCCTCTATTTTGTTTAAGCTCAAGTCTATTCTTTAACTTTCTCTTCTCATATTTTGCTATAAACAGCACCCCACCCCAAAAAAATCCAAGCAGCACCTTCAACATTCTTTTTGGAAGTATCCTTCGTTATATCCACAACCCAAACTGTGAATAGGTTTTCTACTCTCCACATCATTCCACTAAATAACAAGGCATCCCTTTCCTCCAGTTTCCAATCAATTTTTCCTTACTTTCCTTTAAGCTCTCACAGGCAACCTTCATAAAGATGATCAGGTTTCTGATAGTGGTGTGTTCCAAGCATCTTAGATTTTCATCAATACTCTCTTCAAACTCCTTTGAGCTTAAACCCTCTGCTGGTTTTAAAGCCATTTCACATGTTAGGTTTTGTTGCTCCAGCACGCTACTCTTGGTACCAAACATTTGTTTTATCTATTTTGCCACATAACGAGCTCTGAAATGGAGTGGCTTAAAACTACAAATTATTAATGTCTCACAGTTTCTGTAGGTCAGTCATTAAAGAGTCATTCTGTAGGCTTATTTCTTCCTCCTGCTCCAGCCATGTAGGGCATGCCTGCTTCCCCTTCTCCTTCTGCCATGATTGCAAGTTTCCTGAGGCCTCCCTAGCCATGCTTCATGTATGGCTTTGGAATCGTGAGCCAATTAAGCCTCTTTCCTTTACTGATTAAAAAAATAGATAAGTAAAATAATAAATAAAGAATGGTTTAGATGGATAATACCATCTTTGGGTATCTCATGAGGTTGCAGTCCAGAAGTCAGTTGTGATTAAAATCATTTGAAGGTTTGACTATATCCAGAAGGTTTGCTTCTAATCACATAGCTATGGAAAGGATACCTTGATCTGTCCTTGGCTATTGATAATAAGTATCAGTTATTTACTACATAGTTCTCTTTGTTGGGCTGCTTGAGTGTCCTCATGACATATGTTTTAGTTTGTTTGTGCTGCTAACAAAACACCTGAGACCGGATAGTTTATAAACAATGGAAATTTATGTCTTATAGTTCTGAAGGCTGGGAAACTTAAGACCAATTTGGTATCAATCAGGTTTGGTATCTGGCGAAGGCCTCCTCCTAATAGACGATGCTGTTTAGGTGTTCTTACATGACATAGAGACAGAAACGGCAAAAGGAAATGAGCAATGTGTCCTCCTACAAAAGAAGAGTAGAAGAGTAAAAGTTGTCTAAGCTAGTTCTCTCCAGCCCTTTTATAGGGCACTCGTTAATCCATTTATGACTTTGGAGCCCTCATTACTTAATCACATCCCCAAAGGCCCCACTTCTCACTATCACCACAATAAGGAGTACGTTTCAACAAGAATTTTGAATGGGACACATTCAAACCATATCAACATGACAGCTGGGTTCTGCAGAAGTGAGCAATTCAAGAAAGAGTAAGATGGAAGCCACAATGTCTTTTATGACCTAGTGTTAATGTCACACTCCATCACTTCCACAATATCTTATTGGTCACATAGGTCAGCTCTATGAAAGAGGGCTCTAAACTAGGACATAAATAGCAGGAGGCAGGGACCATTGGGGTGACCTTGGAGGCTGGCTGTCTCAGTGCCTGTGCTAAACCAGTTGTTAAATATAGTGCTGCTCTGAGACCTAGACTATAGGAAGCTTGTAATGAAGTTTACACTTTAGAGGCTCCATGCTTTCCCTCTTCCAGTGTCACCTTTCTCCAAACGGCCAAGAGTTTAGTGTATGGGGTCAAGGGGATGTACACACTCAGAGGCCATGCCTCCCAACCCCAAATATTCTTCAGTTATCTGGAGCCCTGAATTTGTTGCCCAATTGGCTCCAAGATCTCAGCCCCAAGAGGCCTTTAGGCTCTACTTCACTGGGTCTGTGCTCCTGAGGGTTAAGTGCACTGTTAA